GCTCGTTTACTAATACCCTAAATTCGTAATTCCCCTAATATGTTTTTATTTTAATATATATAAATACTAATAAATTATATTATATAAAGGCTCGTTTAGGCTCGCGAGCCTAATCGAGCTTACTGACATAGGCTTGAGCTCGAGCTCGTTTAATAAACAAGTTTAATATTGGGTCGTTAAATATCAGTTTTGAGTCGAGCTTTTAACGATCCGATCCCGAGTAGCTCACGAGTATCTTGGCTCGTTTGCACCCCTAGATTCGGGTACACGCTCGGGTGTGTGAACTCAAACTAAGGAATTAGTAGTCTTTTTGAAAGAAAATAAAATTTTCTAAAAAGACTTTTCCAAAGAAATGGGTGTGATGCATGCAATCAGCCGAGCTCAAATAAGTGATTCCCAAAAGCGTAGTTCGAGAACACATCTTATTGAGTTACTGCTTGAATTTTGCTTGCTTTGTGCTTTATGGGACTCATATTGATGTGAGTTAACTATTAAATGAATATGTTAAGTTACATGCTGCAAAGGTTAAATAATTTTAGAATGATTGATTCGGCCCTATTGTGCAGCTCTCGTTTGAGTCTTACCGTTGTAGGGTTGGCTATTTTAGTCGAAGGATTATTTAAGTTTTGGTGCATGTAATTGTATTCACGAAGTAGTTAGCTGAAATTAGTAGGAGTTTTTCAGCAGTTGATGGAAGGGTGAGGTCGGAGTCGTAGGAGAACCTAGGAAATGCTTTAGTGCGATTGGACGCTGTTTAGCAGTTTAGGAGCATCATTGTAAGGAAGTGACGTGGAGGATTCGGGATGATTCTCGAGGAAAGTATGGATAGGCGTGGAAGGTAGTATTGGGCCCGTACTACTAAAAGCACATTATTTGTACTTGAATCGAGAATGATAACGAAGATTCTAAGAGATTGGTAGAGGATTGATGTGAGGGATTCTAATCAGTGGGTAACTGTTATAGAAAAAGGATAATTCTTTGGTTATGTAATGACAACTTTGTCTTTTTCAACAGAATGTCGATTACCCGACATGAAACAGAGCCCTCTGAGATTGATGCGGAAAACGTAGGACTACATGATTGGATTGCCACTAAGGTTTCACATATTTTATTGGAAGAGTTGTCTGGTATTATTGGTCGGATCACTGACAGGCTGATTGTCAAGTTCGAGGAGCGGACTGCAATCTTTCGGGTGGCAGGAGAGATTGAGGCGACTAGAGAAGGAGATCTTGACGTGGAGGCATGACAAGGGAAGAGAAGGTAGGCACATGATTCGACGCCGTTGGAGATGGGTAGAGAGTTAGGTACGTCTAAACCTTAGTGCTCATTAATAATTATGGAAGTAGTAGGGTGATCTTAGAGTGTAAAATTTGGAATCTATATGTAATAATTATTATTTAATGATTAGCATGTGAAATTCCTCATAAAATGGAAAACATAAGAGGTATTTGTCTCACGATTGCTAATGAAAATGTTATTGAAACAAGGTGTAATCCACATCGACAATGCTCGACAATTTTCAATCAGTGTTGAATGTAATGACGATACTACATGATTAAAAGATGTTAGGACGGTTTCAACGGATACGTGAAATGCAAGAACCAAGAATCAATAAAGATGTTATGATGATGATAGGAGGAGCCCTACTTATGTGACGCATAAAGCAAGTGAAGGAAACTTCATATTATCTTATGGGCACATGGAAAATGAACCATCGTCAGAGAGTTACCCATGGAAAATATTATAATTAGGTCTTCGAAGCCTAACACCTATATTTTGACATGTACTCGAATAAGACTGGATATTGAAGACCAAAGTAGAAGCATGAAATTTTAGAATACTTCTAGTTTCAATGACTCATTTATGCTTATGTTTTGCTATTGGTGGAAGCATGAAATTTTAGAAGTCTTCTAGTTGCAATGACTCGCTTATACTTATGTTTTTTTATTGGTTGATACATTATCACGTGTAAAACAGACATTGTCAAACTTTGAACTTTGGGACCAACTTTATTTCGAAATCTTAAACATTTTTGGAAAGACTTAGACCTTAAATTTAATTTATTAAATTTATTTAAAGTTGCTCACGTAAGGGATGTTTCAGTAAAACTAGTAGTAGAGGTTTGGATAGCTTCATGTCTTATCTTGGTTTACATGTCACATGAAGGATTTGTGCTTATTTGTCCAAGTGTTGTTTGTGATGGGGATTTTAGGTTACAAAACAATTATACATGCAGAAATTCTCTTAACACTTAAGGATGCATGCAACCTAAAATGGATCTATTCCTTTTTCACATCTAATAGCAACATACTTATAAAAACACAAAACTAAACCTTATAAATTGAAATTCATGGTTAGGGATACGTACATTTTGTTGATTCTAATCAAGTTAATCAAATCTTGTTGTCTCTTTGGAAAACCTAGCTCCAATAATATACGAGCATATAATGTTTCACACTCAAAACACAAGAAACCCTAAGATTAAAGGAGAGGAGAAAAGAGGATGATAATTTCGTTCTTCACCCTTAGACAGAACCATGAAATCTTGGTGTCCAAGGGTCCTATTTATAGTTTAGGTAACTTGCAGATGAATTTGGATTTGAATAATTAAATAATAAATTTAATCCCAATTCAAATCATTTTCTTATCAGCTACCAAGAGGCTTCCTGAAATCCTAGAAACTCTTCCAAAACCATTCATACCATGGAAGGTTTTAGAATTGTTTTTTTTTTTTTTGTTCAATTATTGAATAAATACAATTCACTGGTTGCACTTATATTTAATTCAAATTAATTTAAGATTAATTCTGATTAATAATTAATCAAATCTGACTATCATTATTTAATTAATTAATTATTAACTATTACTATTTAATTTATTAATCACATAATAAATTAACAAATCTTTTATGTTTATTCATCTATCAATTCAAGTCATTTTGTCATTATGCGGGCAACCAAAAAAATACTTTCCTTTTAGACTAAATTGCACAAATGGTCATGTGGTTAGCTCAAAATTGTCACTTTGGTCCAAAAAGGTTTGGATTAGCATTACAGGTCCAAACTTTTCATTTTGTTGCGACTTTGGTCCAATTTGCTTTGAACTTTTTTCAAATGACGATTTTGCCCCAATTTTTTTATTTTTCAATTTTTTTATTATTTTTATTAATTTCTTTTTCCATTTTCTTATTTATTTTTCCGATTTTCAGATTTAAAAACAAAACTAAGAAAAAAAACCCACTCATACTACTACACCCACCCACTATCTCTTTAACATACATACTATCTATCTCTCTCACTTCACTGTGTCGCCGGAAACCATCGCCTCCAGACGCAAAACAGCACCACCTGCCGGAAAAAAAACGCCACCCACCATAAACCGCCGCCACCTGCCGGAAACCATCACCACAAACACCACTCCCGGTGCCACCCTCTTTCTCTTTTTTCTGCTACTTCGATCACCTTCTCTATACAACCGTCAGAGCAGTCAAAATGCTCGTCGGAAAGTACGAGGGTTTCAAATCTATCGTCAGATCACCCTAAATGGTCGGTGGTGATGGTTCTATTTACATATATGGAGAACAGAGAAGATGAAGGGCTCCCCTTCTCTCTCTCTCTCCCCCCCTCCGTCGTTCTTGAGAGCGTCATCGTCTTCGTCGTTTGGGAGGGGGGACAACGTCGTCGCCTCCTGTAACTCGACTTCACTGGAAACCACTTTGGATTCCTCCTCAATCGCTAGCCTCAGGTTCCGTTGTTGCCTCGAATTAGATCCATTCGTCTCCGGAGATGGTGGGGAGTTGGAGCTTAGAAGAAGATGGTCGTGTTGCAGATCGTCGGTGTTCCAGATCTACGACGAAAAGATCTTCAAAAAAGATCGACGAGAAGGGTTTTCACAGCGAAACTCCAATAAAATCAGAAAAAGATGTTTCAACGTTGGGTAGGCAACGCCAGAGAAGAAGAGAGACGGTGGAGAGAAAGAGAGTCAGAGTGGAGAGAGAACGGCGGTTGTGGTGGCGGATTCTGGCTGGTGTTGGTGGTTTCGAACAGGTCGTGTTCCGGTGAGAAGAGGGAGGTCCGACGAGAAGGGCGATGGTCTGACGGTTCAGCCTTTGTCGGAGTTGGAGGTTCGGTGATGTGCAGGTTTAGAGTTTCAGTGTTCTTCATATGTAATGTAGAGAGAGAGAATGAATGGGGTGGGGGATAAACACTCAATATTTTTTTATTAGTTATTGTCATATAAAAAATGGAAAAAGAAATTAATAAAAATAAGAAAAAAAACTGAAAAATAAAAAATAGGGCAAAATTGTCATTTGAAAAAAGTTCAAATCAAATTGAACCAAAATCGCAACAAAATGAAAAGTTTCGACCTATGATGCTAGTGAAAACATTTTTGGACCAATGTGACAATTTTGAGTTAACCAAGGGACCATTTGTGCAGTTTAGCCTTCCTTTTATTCATCAATATTTTACAAATTTAATTAGGACTTAGACTTGAGTGATTGAAATTTTTTATTATTTCAAAGGTCCAAATTTTTCGCGAGCAAACATTATTAACGAGTAAGATATGTTTACAACTCCAACAATTTACAATGAATGAACTTTTAGTAACTTAATAGTCTCTCCAACCAATTTGTGGTGCTTGTAAAAACCAAAAAAGTCTCCACGACTCCATCCCATATAAGACGCTTACTTTCTCGTGGAAGATTTGGTAAAAACCGAACTAAGATATCTACTATCACAAAATAACTCTCTATTGTTAAAAAAAAAAAAAAGTAACAAATCCATTTTTTTTGTAAAAAAAATCATCCATAGAATTATTTTAGTTTACGCGCAAATCTTTTTTGGAGATTGCTTAATTGACCTTTCAACAATAAAAAAACACGTACGATGAAAATTTCAAAATCGAACTAATCAGTTTTAGCGAATTAAATAAAAACCAAACTTGATGCATTTTATACAAAATTCCTTAATGGAGAAAAAAGAATTAAAAAATATAAAAATCTAATCAATATCCATATAGTCTGTTGATGACCCACTACCCTCTACTGAATCCGAAGAATTCCGACCCGATTCACTCACCGGAGTCCGACGCGCTACGGTGATCATCACTCGCCACCACTCACCATCACCACCGTCTCTCCGCTCCTTCTCCTCTTCATCCACCGGCATCTCGTATCTACAAACCGGGCACGACCCATGGATACCTAACCACTTCATAATACAATCCGAATGATACCGATGCCTACACGGCAATTCCTTCGCTTCTCCGGCAACACCACTGTAATCCGTCAAACATATCGCACAATCTTCTTCCTCCGTCGCTGTAACCGTCGGGATGGCCTCTATTGCCGCTTTCGACGCCGGTAATGGCCCGTCTTTCACGAGACTTCCGGCGTGAGTAGCGTAAACCGTAAAGACGATCGCTTCTGCTTCTGCTTCTTCTCCGTCGTGATCCTGTGATGGAGGAGCGGCGGCAACGGCAGTTCTGACAAATGATGTGATGAAATCGCGAATTGACTGATCAAAGTCCTGCTCCGAAGACGACGACATGATCTGGGGTTGATTTGATTAGCTTTCAGATGAAGCAAATTTAAAAAAAATCGAGGGTTATTGTGATTTTGGAAGCTTGATTTATATGTAGAGGATTAAAGGGACGACTAGAAGGTTCTGAATGTCGGCGATTAAAACTCATCGTCGGTCATTGCTCACGTCATAATTTGGGAGTCGGAAGGACATAATTTACAGAATAACCCCTTTTACTATTATTATATTGATAATAGCCCCCTTAAAGTTTGGTAATTGACCTATGAGCACCTCGGAAACTTGAAAGGGTTCACAAATCACTACTCCTTTTTAGGATTTACTTATCGGGACATTTATTAAAGAAAATGTACAACATACTTGTATTATTTTATTATCAAGGAATGTTATTGGAAGGTAACCATGGAAAATATTCATTTTAGAATTTCACATAAGGTTTGTTAATAACTAACGTCAACTTACATTTTTTGATTAATTTATGTCAAACAATTTGTTACATGATAATTTCGAATTATAAAATGTTTTTGGGGAAGTGGATACCACGTGTTTCACAAAGTTTATTATTTAAAACATCAAAACGTTTTACATTTGTATCGATTCTTGGGATACTTCAAGATTTTCTATGATTATTTAAAGAGAAAATGTAATTATGCAAATTAAAATAATAATAATAAATAAATTTGTATCATTTCTATCGATTGTGTCAAAATATTTTTACAAAATAATAATAATAATAATAATAATAATAATAATAATAATGAATCCCTTTTTTTCTTTTTAACATTTTGGTCATTATGTAAAAGTAAAATGATTAATATATTTTTTAGTTATGTTCTGTAAATATTATTTTGTTATTTGTTTCAGTGGTGTGTGTTTGGGTGTGTGACTGTTGGAAAAAATAAAATTTACTATTTTTTTTACGGAAACCTTATAACGGTCTAACTTTGTTTTAATTCAATTTTTTAAAATAAGAAAAGATGACGGTTATCGTCTCCAGAAAGATACAAATAGTGGAAATTCGTCTTTTTCTGAATGTTGTTATTAAAATCTTTATATTCAATGGGGAATATTATCCCACCATAATGAATAGAACTTAAGAATATTCATTCTAAAGATTTGCAATCTAATGACTTACACAAAAAGTCAAATACATGAGGTGGATCTCTGATGAGAAGAAAAACCAATACATGATATGGAGCTTGGAGGGAAAAAACACGAGGTGCTTACCAATGAATGCAAACCTTGTTAGAATATGATGATCCGAAACACAAAATAGAAGCAGTTAAAAAAACGTTGACATCATATAACACCATGGATCCATAATTATTGATTTCAAACCACAAATTACATTATAAGAGGAGATGATTATGCGCTATAAACCTTGTTTTAGATGTTATTGATAATCCAAAGTAGAATTCAACTAAAGAAAATTTATGAAATAACCAAAATTGAGGGGGTGTTTTAAGCATTTAACCATGAAAATGTGAGTATTGGAAAATGACCACGAGATCTCCAATGGGGGCTCTGCGGATCCCTTTAACCCTCTGCGGAAAGATAAATAGTACCGAGGAAATGACATGGCATCACTAAAAGACAAAAAATATGGTGGGTATCATGGTTCCGTAGAGGTGGCTCTGCGGATCCATTTAACCCTCTGCGGATCGTTAATATTCACAGCGGATCGTTCGAATAAGGGGTAAAATCAGAAAATTGTCAAAACAAATCCATTCCTAATACCCTAACTGCGGAAGCTTGCTACAAAAAAGGAAGGAGGTGAATCGAACACGTTGAATCGATCATTCCGATGGTGTGTCGATCGCGAATTGTGGAATAACTACACTCGGATGTGTTATTCGATGGCTATGGAACACATGTAAGTTTTTTTCCTCATTTTGGAATTGTATGAAACTGTAATTGCCCGATTTCTGAATTAATTATAGTTTGTTAGGGTGTATGTGCCATGAAAGTCTTTTTTCCTCCGAAGAACAGATCCGCAGAGTTGTATGGCTGAAGAACAGATATGCGGAGGAGCCTTCTGCGGATCGACGTTCATCTCTGCAAAATTCTTAAAAAAAATTATATGCAGAATTCGGTATTATTTATTTATTTTTTCGATTTTGAGTTACTCCTTTAAAATGCGAAATAGTTATAAAATTTATAAGAGAATATTTGTTATCTTTAGGAAGAAGGGCATTTCAGTCTTATTTTTTTAAATTTTGCCATATATGTGTTATCTTGCATGGATGGCCTGCAAAATTAACTGTAACGACGTGAAAATTTAAAACAATTTTTCATTTTTCAAACATAACATATCTCATATAAATCATTTCAAACTCAAGTGTATCAATGTTATCACGGTAAAACATATCCAAGAATCTCAAATACAAAATCCTCTATCAGTGTGTACAAATCATGTCGGCGCCTTCCCGTGATCCTCGCTAGTACCTGAAACACATATCACATAACACGGTAAGCATAAATGCTTAGTGAGTTCCCCAATATACCACATACAACACATAAGCCACTCGAGGCTATAACTCGGTAAGACCCTCCGGTCAATGTGTCTCAGCGGGACCCTCCGGTCAATCCCGTAGCTCGTTGGACCCTCTGGTCCGGTGTAGCTCGTTGCACCCTCCGGTCCGATCTGGTTGAGGACCCTCTGGCCTCGTAAGTCGTTGGACCCTCCGATCCGGTCTAATATCACATAGCATACATACATCACAAATACATAATCTCAAGCAAGCACATAACATATAAGACCCTCCGGTCTGAACATAGATACCACTCTAGGTAATGTATAGTGAGAAGACTCACCTGACAAGCAGCAAGTAAAGACCTCGCTCCCGAATCTCGAACTAGCCTCCGCCTAACACAATGGATAAATATCTCTAAGTAATACTCTAATCACAACTCTAATCGCCGACGGCTATTCTTCCTCTCTTTAACTCTTTGAAGTGGATAAAAGACCATTTTACCCCTCCATGGTCTCTATTACTCATGTTGACCAAAGCCCCAAAGTCAACAGAAGTCAAACTCGAGTCAACAGTCCATGTTTGACCCGACTCGCCGAGTGCACCCTTGTGACTCGTCGAGTCCACTTATTCCCTCAGAAGTCTCGTGAAAGTCCAGCTCAGCTCGTCGAGTTGACCCCCAACTCGTCGAGCTATTGCATGATTCAGCTCTTCGGGACAAACCCTAACCAACTCGTCGAGTCGGCTCATTGACTCGGCGAGTTCATTCAGACCAAATGTTCATTCAGACGATTTCAGTCAGATCTATCACTCCAAACACTAGATCTATCGTCTTAAGGCTCAATAATCACGTAAAGCTTCGATCTTTACGTTCATACATGAGGTTATTGCTCCAAAATGCTAATACATGCCTTTCATGAATGATTAAGCCCAAAAACCCTCATATGGATGAATAAAGCTGGGACATTTGAACTCTAAGGACTTCACAAGGTCCAGATCTGCGGTCTAGACTTCTTGATAACCCATGCTACCCAAGAACCTAACCAAAAATGACAAAAAAAAGCCCTAAATCTTCATAGATATGAGATCCAACTAAATAAATGAGAAAGGTGTGGGCTTTTTACCTTCCAGAGAAGCTCTTTGAGAAGAAATGCTAGATCCCACAGCCTCATCCCACTCCTTGCTTGAAGCTCACTCCTATTCTTCCAAAAAGGTCCATCAAAACACTTGATACAAGCTCAAGGACTCTCTCTTAGCTTCCATGGCCGCCTAGGGTTTCACACAGGAGAGTTGAACAGAAGATGAGCCGCAAATGAGGCTATAAGTGCCTTTAAATAGGTCACAGGCCCGAAAATTTAGGGTTTCCTTCACCAGCGCTGACTCGGCGAGTCGACTCACAGACTCGACGAGTCAGCTCATTAATCCTTGTCATCCAACGCGACCCTACTCGACGAGTTGAGGCACCAACTCGTCGAGTCGCCCATGAAACTCATTATAACAATAGAAATGATATACCCCGGAACCAGGATGTTACAATTCTCCCCCACTTAATTTGATTTCGCCCTCGAAATCGTTCTTCATCCACACATAGCTCGAACCTATAACTCGGAAAGCATCACTGAAAAGGGCCTCATACCCCACCAATGTCTTTTCTATGGACACCTGAATCCAATCAGGAACTCCCAAATCCGGAACAAAACCGATCCCCTCTGTCGCTAAGATACCCCCCCTTTCTGACCTCCCAAAAATCTGGAAGCTCTAGTGGCCTGGCCTGCCGCCAGACCGCCCACTCAAGATATCACTACGTTATTCACTCCTCGAATAACAATCCTGATAACTCACTGCCCCTCTAATTCTCCCCAGACATAATCCAACAATCAGCTACCGATCACTCATACCAACATAGTAACGATCCGAATCACGCCCCAAGAAACGGTAGGGTTCACATCCCACCAGGGCTCATCCACTGAACTGCTATCAGAACTCATCCGAACAATGAATTCTCAACACTCCGCCCTCAGACACAAAAGAATAACCATGCTCGCTCAGAAATGTCCTCAGACATCTAAAAATCATAAGCCTCAGCTTCATTCCTCATATCCCTTTTTAACACTGAATACCAGGTCTGATCTCGACCCAACAGTTGAACCTCCAAGGTTATCCAATGCATCATCCCAACTGTCTCAATGGTTTCCTTCTCACCATAACTATATCGACCCATTGTGACACACAAGTCACGAAGTTCACCTTACCCCAAGCGAATGCTACACTCCCAACTGAAGATCGACTCAACCCCGACCTCTGTCGTCTACTGCTCATAGTTCCATGCATCTCGCGGTACCTCCCGTACCCGAGTACTGACCCACACAGGTCTAAGACATCAGATGATAAACAATACCCCTCAAGATGGAACCCACCTCAGAATCCAGAATCTCATCTCGCCTACCCAACGCACCACCAGAGCCAAACTCAAACTCGACAGTTTGGTCTGACCTAGAGTTGGAACCACTCGACCCAACGAAGCACTCAACTCATGAC